AGCGTTCTACTTGCTTTTCGCTCCCAACGAGATATTCAAGTACCAAAAAGTAGAGCCAACAATATTACATGGATCAGAGTGGAGGTATATTTTCACAAAGAGATATTCAATTTTGCTTACTTTAGTGATGATACTTGATAAAACAATTTAAGGGGTATATCCTGATATATATTCGTATTTTCTTTCCATGTGTAGTGTCCTCGTCAATGTAACGATATAAATTATGGCTATTTTATATTGAGGTTTATGAAAGAAACTATTCTTTTGGATCGATTAGAGATTCCATCCACGGTATGGATTTCTAACTTAGGAATTACATACTATTTTCATATTTTGTGTTTCTCATAAAATGACATATTGTTTTAACTAAATCACATACTATATGTAGTACTTTGAGGAATTCAATTGTGCACATTACTCAAAAGATCAATTGGATGAACTTATGGAGGAATTGTGTCAATTCATTATCGGGTTGAGAATTTTATAAGCTAAGGTATATTGTCTTATTTCCTTTGATGAGAACTTTCGAGTTTTGAGTATAAATTAAATTCGAATTAATAAAGTGCAACGTTAATATTATCATGTTATGAATTTCGATCATTTGGTTTTTTTTCCAGGTTTATAGGTACATGTGTAGAAGATAGAGCTAAGATATTCATGTTGTTGTTGTTTCATGAGAATTCTCGAAGATAGAAAGATGTATAGATGTAAATTCAATTTTGAATATTTTAGGCATTTTAACTTGTAGAATTTTAACTTGTATCATAAATTTTGTAATTGTTGTTGTTTATATCATCAATTTATATATATGTGCAATTTATATATATATATATATATATATATATATATATATATATATATATATATATATATATATATATATATATATATATATATATATATATATATATATATATATATATATATATATATATATATATATTTTATTGGAATGAAGCTACCGAATATGGAGCATAAAAGATAATTCTGAAAACCTGGACCAAAATATTGGAATGAAGCTACCAAATATTAGAACGAAGTTATCAAATATGATAAAAATTCTGATTAAAATAGATAATTTATTTTTAAAAAAATTGTAAACAATAGACAGCGTTTTAGGAGAAAAGCGCTGTAAAAAAATTTTAAAAAAGTGCTGCCTAAAGTCTGAAAGCAATGTCTAAAGGGGGGAATAGACAACGCTTTCAAAGGAAAGTGCTGTCTAAAGCCTGTCTGGAAAAAATTACAAAGCACTGCTAAAGGGATATATAAAAAAGTGCTGTCTATTCTAAAAGCACTGTCTAAAGTGGATATAAAGCAACGCTTTTACGTTGAAAAAAAGCGCCGTCTTTTCTTTTAGCAGCGCTGCTTTAGGCAGCGCTTTAAAGCGCTGTTAAAGGCCAAAAAAAGCATTGTCTTTTCCCTTTTTTGTAGTAGTGAAACTCTGCATAAATTATTTGTCTTGTCTTTATTTTTTGTTTGTCTCATAATTAAATTGTTATTGTGGTAGAAATTCATCATAGACTTTGGTGAGTTTCCAACAAAACTTCTATACAATGGTTACAACAACAAAGAAAAATTAGTGTTGTTGAGATTCTAATAAGATAAGAAGGCATCCTCCCAACGTGATCGGATGTCATCTATATCTTGTGAGAATGATGTTTGACCACTAATTACCTATAATTTGAGTAAAATATAAATTATGATAAGCTAACAACAATAACATTAACTTAACAAATAGTGATAAATTACATGTATATGGCTAAAGTTAATATCTTAAGCCACAAATTGATAATGCATCAGAAGATAATATTTAACATATGTCTCATAACATAGTATCCATAAAAAAAATTATCGATTTGTTTTCACGACTACAAATAATTTTCATATAATTATTAATTAATATACACAAAGCACAAGTAATACATTAGTAAAAATAAAAGAATGTCAAAAAGTACAAATAATACTTACTTTTGAGAAAAGGAACCTTGACTTTTTACCTTGTAGATTATGTTTCACAAAATTATATCCCTCCATAGCTTTACATGCTGGTAAAAATTAAGCAAGAATAAAAACAATTAAAAACTAAAGGTAAAATTTGAGTATGATCCGCTTAAAATGTCATGCATCATAACTTAAATAAAACACTTTGGGTGCGTTTGATTTGTAAAATGATAAGTATTGAATAGAACAATACAATACAAACCTTTAATGGATTGAACAATTTTTTTGTCATGTATAATGGATAATGGAAAGGACAAATATAATAAAGTAATATTTACTACAATACCCTTTATATTTATATATTTTAATAATCTGTACTGGGACCAAAGGGTATTTTGACATTGTAAATATTAATATAAGAGAATGAGAGGGAAAATATATATTTTTAGTAGAAAATAAAATGGTATTTTTGTATTTTAAATAACTTGTGACCGTAGAAAATAAAATGATATTTTTGTATTTTCATCATTTTAGTATTTTTGAATTTAATTCATGTTATTGCATGGACCAATTTTTTTGAATTTGCGGTCCATCTAAATGCCCTAACTTTTTCCTAAGTCAATTTTTTTTTCTTTAGGTTTTTTCTTTTTTGACTTAGCGAGCTCTTTTTTAGAAATATCCTTATGAAAATTTACTTTTGATTCAGAAGGGTTGTGACTGTCATGTTAATTGTTGTGAGCTTCATATTTTCACTATTTCCTTGGCGTTAGATGTTGTGCGCGAGGAAGATGAAGGGCTAAAACCTCTGACTGAGATGATTAAATGGACTGATTCTCTTGTAGCAAGATGCATCGTCGAAGTAATTGAAATACACTATATCTCTGGTTAAGATAAAGGATTTTTTATTTAGAAAAATAAAAAGAACATTAACTTCAAACTCGAAGGTGTTGACTACGAATTAACTCCTTATTTCTTCGGTGTTTGGTGAAACATCTTCTATTTTTTTTAACTAAATAATTGACACCTTTAATTTTATTTATTTAGTTAAAATATTTTAAACAACCTATTTAGTGTGGTTACAATATAAATAGTTTCTAATCGTTTGTCTTTGTGTCACTATTTTATAAAATTATTTTAACTATTAATTTTTGGTCTATTATATTTGTTAAAACAATAAAAAAATAGATTTGATAGATAAACTTTATTTTGATTTAGTAAATAAAAATTATTTGATTATATATATGAGAAATTGTTTTTAGTAATAACCATGTTTTAAAAAAAAACACAAATAATCATATTTCAGATAAATTTACGCAAAAAATCATATTTTATAAAACGTTATAATGTAGTAGCCATCTTAGATTGCGCATGCATTAACTTTTTTAAAGATAACGTCAAGTGAGATGACGCCTAGCCATCTCTTAAATTATTTTTCAATTTTTTTCTATTAATCGGTTGATTTTCATGCAGATTTGATTTTTTTTGCGAATTTATTTGCGATTTACCTGCGGACTTTTTTCACACAGGTAATTCCGTAGGAAAATCTGCAGGTAAGTCCGCAGGTAATATCAAATCTGCAGGTAATTGAAAAAAGTTTGAAAAATATATATGACATGCCAATTTAAGTGAAGCATCCTCTTTAATTCACTTTTTTTTAAAACATGGTTATTTATGTAATTTTCTTCAAAACATGATTATTTGTGTATTTTTTTTCAAAATATTTTATATATAATATAAAATTATATTTGTATTGTTATGATATATTAAATAGGGTAAGAAGAAGAACCAAAATGTGTGTACGTGTGAGTAATAGTAATTGACTATTATTAAAGGAAAGTTAGATAAAATAATAATAATAATTACTATTATAATATTGTAATTGTAACTATTTTACCGGAGGTTTTAGTGACTAAAGTATTCATGCCCTAACTTCAACGTGCACATTTTTTCTTCTTTTCATTTTCTATTTTCTTGCCATAAACTGTGGAGTCAAACTCTCTCTCTTAATATTATAAATATTTGTTCCACAAAACAAGTCTTGTATTAACTTCCACTAACTCTCCAATAAACTTCCTTTCTAGAAAATAAATCACACGGTTTATTCTTTTTTTCAGTCTTCTTCTTCATTGCTCTTTTTATCCCTGCCTATGTCAAATAGTAAGAAACACATAAACATATCCGCACAAAATAAAGCACATTTATTTAAGACTTAGCCTTCAGCTTGTGTATGCCTCACTACTATAAATAAATTTTCCTGTGGATTCGAGATAAAAATCTGCAGGAAATACGTTTCCTGCGGATTCTGGTCCTCAGCTAAATCTTGGTGGGTAATTTAAAGCCACAGGTAAACCACTGGAAACAAAAGCTGTAGTTAAATCCGCGCAATATATAATCCGCAGGAATCAAATTCCACAGGTAAATCTGCAGCTCATATATTTTGAAATAAAAAAAAAATTGAGACGGTGTATGAACATTGCAAGAGCTGAAAATTAAGGAGCTTGACATCTTAATCCCATTATTCTAAATAGGTGAGAACACTAACCAACGATGCATTAAGGTAAAGCATTAAGAAATCAAAAACGAAATAAAAAAGCATTAAGATTCTAAGATATTGTGATTTTTAAGTAAGATGCTTCTTATTAGAACAACTTAACGTACATGAATGCAGGCTAGCTCTCAAATAAAGCCAAAGAGACTTAGCTAGCATTACATGTCCTTTAGCCACAGATTCTGAAATCAACAGATGAACAATTGCTTGTCGACATTCCTTGTTAGTATCTCCATTTTCATCTTGATTAACAGCTGAACCACCTTTGGTTTTCATAATGTTTGATTTAGTTCTAGAATTATTAACATTCTCTTTCAATACTCTTGGCACTATGGAGACCAACTGAAGCATGTTAAATGAGAACTGCTTGGCGGTTTCTTGATGAACAAACGCAACCGAGTAAGCCCAACATGAAGCTCAATGCCTTTGACATGAGTACTGGTACGTCATAAATCATTTGGTTCCTGTAAATGGAGCAACATCTTTGCAGTATGATCTTTACTATTGGAACCTACATGTGAATCTCCCGGTGAATAGGAATTTCTTTTGCGTGTTTTCGGAGCAACATCAACTTTTGTTCCTGCCATGAGTTGTACTGATAAAGTTTTTCACGTGTTAGACGAGTCTTGCATTATGGATACAAACAATAATTGTTTTAACATGATTAATAGGCATGGTAATTCTTATCCACCGCATTCTTGGGAAAAACAGAAGCAACATGGAAAGTGATAACAGTGTGACCATTCAAACGCAAAGGAAGCTTCATCCCTTCATGAACAATCCTAACCTGCAACAAATCATCACTATTTTTCACTATCCTTAATTAATTTTAATTTTCTGAAAATCGAATTCCAAACCTGATTGAGAATTAGAGCTTTTGCTTGTTCAGAATTAAGTTCGAGATTTCCCAATCATCTTCCGTGTCTGGTTCGATAGATAAGGAAGAAGTGTGTGGGACGTTAGAGGCAACTTTAACTTGAATTGGAGAGTGAATCGGTAGGGAAACGCATTCGGCGAATTGTTGAGAAAGTTGTATGGATGAAGGGGAAGAGGAAGTGGCGCCGGACCAAGCGACGAACCAGGAGTAAAGAGAATGAGTAGAGGAACAAAGACATTTTTGCATCAATATTATCTTCCCTAAATACATTTTTGCATGTTCATGACTTAATGGCTCAACTTTAGAAATGGATAGCAAGTCTTTGTGTCTCAATTTTCATAATATTCACACGTAACTCTCAAAAACCAATAATATTCCCAATATAACATGAACTCTAGGTTTGGTAAAACATTAGAAAGTCAGACCACTCTTTGATCAATTAAGCTAACGAGGAAGGTTGTATGCTAGGCATGCGATACAATGATTCACATGGAAATTCATCTAGAGACATATTTTGTATTTATTGCATTAACCCTATGTAAATTAAACTCCATTGTGATGTCAAGACATACGGTTTAAGCACATCTTACCTTTGTTTTCTCTCTTTCAGCATTGCATCTAAGCAATATCATTCTACTTGAATTATTTCAGACTACTCGATTACCAAGCTCTAAAAATGTATAATTTGCTAGTTCTTTCTTTAAATTATGAGTTGTTGTTCAGGTGTTAGGCATTGGTTCAGGTTTTTTCAAGTTTCAAGTCACACAAGAAACAAAGTGAGTCCTGGCCTTTGTCAATCGTCAATTGTCCACGTTGATCACCTCAATGAGGTTGTTAGGATCTTTTGGGTTAAGTTTTGTGTTGTTCTAAGCTCAATGATTATACCACTTGTCTTTATTTTACTGTTAGCTTTCTCTTCGGTGTCTATCATGCAACTCTTTATCATTAATGGATCATATCAGTTGCTTCTACTTTTACCGGTGATCCTTCTAGTGCTGACTTATTCACATAATTATGAACAACATGTTAATTTTTTCTAATTTAAATCCATTCCTTCATATAAATGTCATTAACCAATGCAGAAAAATTAAGACTCTTGACTCTTTTAGAACTGAAGTAGAAAGCAATAAGCAGACAAAAACTGCAGATTTGTTTTCGTAAATGGAATGAAAATCCCTCAAACCTATACGCAGATCACAAACCATTACTATATAGCTAAAAATGAAGTAAGATTTTAAATCGGAACCCTATGAAGACCCAAATACGGAGAAATTAGGCATTACTTGGTTCAGCAAACGGTAGAACAGGTAGTGAGAGTGAGTGACCAATCATAAGGTTTTTCTTCAATGATAAAAATGCAAGCTACAAAATGAAAATAAAGGCAACATTATAACCAATTCACAAGTTGCGATTTGAAGATAATCATCGACAACACAATATCACATCATAAGAAAATCAAAACTGAAGCAAAAAGAAGAAAGAATCCGGTTGGGACATTTCATCAAACACCTTGCTAGCAAGGACAAAATCTGCATTTTTCTTCTTTTCAACCGGTAAACACTCATCCAATTTAGCTGTATGATGATGTCTACTCGCTTTAATTTTGATTCAAAACCAAAATATGCACCGAGATAGAATCACAATCAAACTCTAGTAGAACCCGTAATTGAGTCGAAACTGTGAAATGCAAAAATTCCAAAACTGCAACCAATTCTGAACAGAAAACGTAAATCAAATTTTGCAAAATCTGACGTACAAAATACAGAACCTCTCAAAATATTTAATTGCTAGGTTAGGCAATATTTGATCTGTTCGATTTATACACAGCTTACAAACTAAACCTTGCCTTACTTTTCTATCCCCCTCTCGGCCACAAAAGCAACAAACCACAACCCATTTTTCTACCTTACTAACACAATTCAACTATTAGATGGGCTCCGTGAACATAATCAAGTAGCATACATAACACATAACTACTCGACCTAATAACTCTTCCATCAGAATAACTTATATTAACTCCGCATCAAACATATTCAAATAACACAAAGTAGTGTCTAACCTGATTCATCTCAGAAATAAGCTGATTCAATATCTTAAAACCACTGGCATAATGACCCGGCGTTGCCTAGATTACAACAACAACAACAACAAAGTGTGAAACAGCCTGCCGCGAATCATTCTTATATTCAAGTCCACTAAATCAATTAAGATGGAATCAATTAAGTATTGAAATTAGGTTAACCTAAGCAAGGTGTTTAACTTCCAGCATCTTGAGTATGGTAGCACCGTCGTTAGTGATAGTAACATAGTAACACCACCGATATCATCGCCAAGCATCTTAAAAGAAAAATGGAAACGAAGGGAAATATGAACGAAAATGAGAGTGAAGAAGATCAGAATCACAAATCTTGTTAGAAGTGGTGTAGTTGATAGAAGATAGTTTTAAAGAGATGTTATGTCATTGATTTTTTGGATGATCCATTACAAGATATTAAATGTCTATTTATAGGCTCAAGTGACCAACCTCTTAATGGTGGTGAATGTTTCTACATTTACTTTAGATTTTTCTAGAGTTTTCATGATATGTTAGTATTATGATAGTTCTAGATTCTTCTATCTTTTACATACATTTATAATTCTAGACTATTCTACCATACTCATACACACTATAGTTTCTAAGGTATTCTATCATTACCATACATATTATATTTAGAATATTCTAGAAATTTGTAGCAATTTCAACACTTCTCCTTGATGCAAATTTCTGTAACTCCAAATATAGTTTGCAGCTCTTCAAATCTCGGTCTCGATAACGCCTTCGTGAATATGTCTGCAATTTGTTCTTCTGTTCTGCAGTAGTCGAGTTTGATCTCCTTAGTTGCTTCAGCTTCTCTAATAAAGTGATACTTGATTGTTATGTATTTTGTTCTACTGTGATGTACTAGATTTTTCGCCATTGCAATTATTGATTTGTTGTCACAATTAATTTTAGTAGGCTCGTCTTGTTTTTCTCCCATGTCTTCAAGTATCTTGCAAAGCCATATAGCTTGACTCGTTGCTTCAGCAGCAGACACATACTCTACTTCTGCTGTTGATTGTGCAACTCTAGCTTGCTTCTTCGACGCCCAAGAGAAAATTCCTGATCCTAGTGAGAAAGCATAGCCAGAGGTGCTCTTCATGTCATCTATCAAACCTGCCCAATCACTATCGGTGTAGCCAAGTAATCCTGAGTTGGTTTCGGTAGTGTACCATATACCAAACTCTTTTGTTCCTTGTAGATACCTTAAAATTCTTTTTCCTGCTCCAAAGTGTATTTGACTTGGGCTTTGCATGAATCTTGATAGAAAACTTGTAGCATACATTATGTCTGGCCGTGTAGCTGTCAAATATAGAAGGCTTCCAATTAGACTTTGATATTTGGATGCATCAGCTTCTAGTGTTCCATCATTCTTCTGTAGTTTCTCATTTGTTATGAGTTGAGTAGCGACAGGTTTGCAACCGTATATATTGAATTTCTTAAGTAAGCCTTTTGTGTATTTCTTTTATGAGATGAATATCCCTTCATTTCTCTGACTTACCTCTATACCGAGGAAGTAACTCATCAAACCAAGGTCGGTCATCTCAAAGGTCTTCATCATGTCTTCTTTGAACTCCATCATCATCTTGGTATTGTTTCTCGTGTAGATAAGGTCATCTACATATAGAGAGAGTAAGAGAGTGTACTGATCTTGAGACTTGATGTAAAGTGTAGGCTCACTCTTGCTCCTCCTGAATCCTTGCTCAATTCTGCTATACCATACTCGAGGTGCTTGCTTCAAACCGTAAAGTGCTTTTCTTAGTCTTAACACTTTTCTTTCTTCGCTTTCAGAAATGAATCCTTGTGGCTGCTCCTCATAGATCTCTTCTTCAAGTACACCATTGAGGAAGACTGATTTGACATCTAGTTGCTGGATACTCCACCCTCTTTGTGCCGCAATAGCTATTAGAGCTCTAATGGTATCAAGACGAGCTACTGATGTAAATGTCTCATTGTAGTCAATCCTAGGTTGCTGTGAGTAACCCTTATCTACTAACCCTGCCTTGTGTTTCTGTATGGTGCCATCAGGGTTGAGCTTTGTCTTAAAGACTCACTTAACGCCAATGATATCTTTTCCATGGGGATGATTTACTAACTCCCATGTGTTGTTTTTCTCGATCATCTTTATCTCTTCTTTCATTTCCTTGACCCATACTTCTTGCTTTGATGCTTCTTCAAAGCTTCCAGGTTCAAGTATGACCAAGTTACATGTTTCATATATGTCCATCAAAGATCTTACTCGTCTTGGAGTAGACTCTGGTGATGATAATTCTTGATCATGTTATTGTGGTGGAGGTGAAGAAGGTTCACCTGGGCCTTCTTCCTTATATTCTTCTTGAGATACTTGAGTTGGTATAAGGATATTCTTCTCCACTTTTTCTTCATCACAATTCCAAGAAGCATTCTCATCAACTTCAACATCTTGACTGATGATGAGCTTTTTAGTTTGCAAGTTGTAGACACGGTAGCCTTTAGAGATTGTGTTATACCCCAGGAAGATACCTCATATAGTTTTCTCTTCAAGCTTGTGCCTCTTCACGTCTGGAATATGAATGTAGCATATAGATCCAAAGACTTTTAGGTGCTTTGCAGATGGCTTTTTCGCGTTCCAAGCTTCAATTGGAGTCTTATCTTGTGCTGACTTAGTTGGACATCTGTTAAGTATGTAAGCAACAGTGTAGACTACTTCAGCCTAGAATATGTTAGGAAGTCCCTTCTCATTGAGCATCGATCTAACCATCTCCATAACTGTGCGATTCTTTCTCTTAGATACACCATTTTATTGAGGAGAATATGCGACTGTAAGTTATCGCTCTATGCCTTCATCCTCACAAAATCTGTCAAACTCGCGGAGGTGTATTCTTTGCCGCGATCACTTCTTAGTACTTTTATCCATTTTCTATTTTGATTTTCAACAATGGCCTTGAACTTTTTGAATACTCCAAAGACTTCTGATTTTTCTTTTAGGAAATAGACCCATGTCATTCTAGAGAAATCATCAATGAAGAGTATGTAGTACATGTTATTCTCGTGCAATGGCGTCCTCATCGGTCCACAAACATCAGTATGAATTAGCTCCAATAGATATTTTGCTCTCCATGATCTGCTTGTTAAGAACATAAATCGGTGTTGCTTACCAAGGAGACATCCTTCACACACTTCATTGTTCTCCTTTATGCTCGGAAAATCTCTCATCATGTTCTTCTCATGTAACAACTTTAAGGCATGTGTGTTGAAGTGGCTAAATCTTCGATGTCAGAGCCATGAATCATCACCTTGTACCTTCATGGAAATGTTAGTTGCATGTTTTAAATTTAGCGGGAAGCTTCTATTGCTCTTATTCATCTTCACTTGGATTATCTCGTCCCTTTTATTTTTGTTGTCTAAGATTTTGCATACTCCTCCTTCAAAGTGAAGTGTGTAGCCTCTCTCCATCATTTGGCCAATACTTAGAATATTTTATTTAAAGTTGGGGTCTAATAAGACATCATGGATGAGTTGCGTACCTTTATCTGTCTCTACCATGACAGTGCCTATTCCTTTTGATTCAACCACACTGCCATTTTCCAGTCGAACTTTGACTTTGACAGACTCGTCAATGCTTTTAAAAATAGTCTCATCATTGGCCATGTGATTGCTACATCCACTATCCAAGTACCAACTTCCTCCTTTTTCTTTGACTGAGTCTTGAGTGGCATAGAACATACATTGTTCTTAACCATTCTCCTTTGCGATATTAGCTTGATGCATATTTTTGTTGCGACAATTTTTCTCTACGTGCTCAAACTTCTTGCAATGGTTGCATTGTGGCATATTACGGAACCAACAATTTTTATCTTCGTGGCCCAGTCTTTTGCATATAATGCATGGAGGATTTTTATATGTTTTGTTCTTAATGAAATTCCTAGAACCTTCTCTTCTTCTTGAAGTTTCTCCATAATTTTTCTTTCCTCCATTTTCTTTGTTTTAGGGATGAAATTTGAGCTTTGACTGGAAGACATTTTCAAGTGTATCTTCTTTATGCCTATACAGTCTTTGCTCATATGCTTCAAGAGAGCCCACGAGTTTTGTCACTAATAGAGTGGACAGATCTTTGGTTTCTTCAATCGTTGTCACGATTGGGTCAAACTTTGGGGGCATAGTAATTAGAATTTTTTTTTAAAAATTTCTTGTCAAGAATGTCTTCCCCAAAAGCTCTCATTTGATTAACTATTTATTTAAATTTAGAATAGTAATCTTTAACTATCTCAGACTCCTTCATCTTCAATAGTTCAAAATCTCTTCTTAGAGATTGAAGTTTGACAGCACGTACCTTAACGCTTCGTTGAAACTTCTCCTGCAATGTGTTCCACGCTTCTTTGGCAGTCTTAGCTCCCATAATTATTGGAAAAATTGCATCAGTTACCGCTTGTTGCAAGGTGAACAATGCCTTTGAACTTTTCTGTTTATTTTTCTTCAACTTATTTTCTTGAGCTGCATTAAGAGCTGAAGTATTTGCGGGAACAATGAATCCTTCTTCTACTATGTCCCATAAATCTTGAGAAGAAAAAAATGTTTCCATTTTAAATAGAGACATATATAGTTGATGATTGAGTGGTGTTATCCATGTCTTAGACAAATATTGGAGTGGTTTAATAGTACACGGGAAATTTTTGAAGTAGTTTGGAGGAATTTGAAATGATATGTATTAATTTAACTACGCCCAATGTATGATCAAACATAACTCTGGTGCCACTGTTAGAAGTGGTGTAGTTGATAGTTGATAGAAGATATTTTTAGAGATTTGTTTAGAAAGAAGGCTATGTCATTGATTTCTTGGATGATTGATCTACTTGGTATGGTAGTCTAAATGATCTGGACTGCAAGTGCACAGTCTTATCGCGTAATTTTAAAGATTATCGAACCCAAAGGACCAAAAGTCAAACGTATCGTTATCTAGCATTACTGTGTAAATCTAAGGCTAACAATATTTGGTTTAGATTAGGGGAACTAAAAGTAAGTTTGAATCTAGTTAAATAATCAGAGGGGGTAAACAACCAGTATGTAATGATCGGACTTCGGGAATTAGTAACCTATTTGGTAACTTGCAGTTTCTAACAATTCTCAGTAGAAATTTATCAATTTAAAAGCCCTCGTCTCACACTGTCGTGGTTGTTGATTTAGGTTATGCAATTTAAGTCCTAACGTATGCTCTCACTATCACGTCGAAGTTAGAAACATTCTTTTGAAAACAAATAAACTTTAATTCTCTTTAAAGCGC